TGTTCCATCTGTCTGACCATCTTCAGTGACCCGGTGGTCCTGCGTTGCGGACACTCTTTCTGCCGGGAATGCATCAGTCTTTCTTTGAAGTCACAGCCACAGTGTCCACAGTGCCGGGTCCCAGAGAAGGGACAGTTCGCCACCAACCACATCCTGAAAAGCCTTTCAGAGAAAGCCAAAGAGAATGAGAGGTCAAAGAGAGGATCTGGAGCAGAAGAGGTGAGTCAACAAAATCTTAAAACTCAATAGTTAACTTTACGACTTTGTTTCAATATGGTTTTCGAATAAAACAGAATTATCTTTTCCACCTCTGTGAGTGTTGTTTCCTAAACCCTGCAGTTTTATTCTCCAAATCTATCTAATTATGTACTTATTTTTAAAAAGGCTCACTCAACAGAAGGACTGAATATAATGTGTAACAATATAAAGGTAAAAGTGGATAATTTATTGCCATAAATACACTGAACAGGAAGGAAAAAGCTGGCATGTTTATGCCAGGGTGTGCATATTTGAAGATAAGTTATCTGGATTATGTCCCGTGACCCGTTAAAAAGACGACCCCGCCCATAACAAGGAGGGGCAGGACGGTCTTAGAGGGCTATTTTGCTCGATTTATTTGATCAGGCCACGTCAAACCATGTGACCTTTGGACAGTAATTCATTCTTTGTAACACTGTACATAAAGATAACAGAGTGGAGGAAGACAAGTGAGAAACAGGAGCAAATCTTCCTTTGCTCATTAGAAGGACTGAACATATTGTATAACAAGATAAATGTAAATGTGGATGATTTAGCTCATGGGTCCTGTTTTTTCTGGAGGCAATTCCAGGAAACTGAATCTCAGAGAGACCAGAGTCATTCTTGCTTTTGGGTGTGATTTGAATGATAATTCAGCTTTTTTCCCCCCCACATTTGTTTGTTTTCAAAGGCTGCTGGCGGGTTTTGTCCCGAGCACGAGGAGAAGCTGAAGCTGTTCTGCTTCACGGACCGGCAGCTGGTCTGCTTCATCTGCCGGGACGGGGAGAAGCACGAGGGCCACCAGTTCAAACCGGTCAAAGAGGCGGCGGCGTTAGTCAGGAAGGGGCTGGAGGTGATCCTGAAACGGGCCTCTTCAGATAAAGTCACCATAGAAGAAACAGCAAACAAACAGAGGGATCAACTAACCA